AGGGGCACCGTGACACAGGGCCATCAACACTTGGTCATGACAAGGAGGGGGCACCGTGACACAGGACCATCAACACTTGGGCATACAGTGGTCATCTCATCCAACTTCTCACAGTAATGATTTGGAAGGCAGCGGAGGATGAGAGTTGAAAGTGCCATAAACCATCACCCAATTCCTGGGCCCATTTACCAGTGGGGATACTGAGGCTCAGGCTCTGTCCCCAACAACAATCTGAGACATTGATCAGCCCCCAGGGCATGCCACCAGTTCATCCCAAAACACAGCTCCCAAGCTGATATGTAGACAGAGACTCCCAAACCCCCAAAGAGGATTTTCCCCCTTTATTTTTTATTTTTATCTATTTATTTAGAGGCGGAGTTTTACTCATTGCCCAGGCTAGAGTGCAGGGGCGCGGTCTCAGCTCACTGCAACCTCTGCCTTCTGGTTTCAAGCAGTTATCCTGTCTCAGCCTCCCGAGTAGCTGGGATTACAGGCACCCCTCACCATGCCTGGCTAATTTTTGTATTTTTAGTACAGACTGTTGTTGACCATTATGTTGACCAGGCTGGTCTTGAACACCTGACCTTGTGATCTGCCCACCTCAGCCTCCTAAAGTGCTGGGATTACAGGCATGAGCCACTGCACCTGGCCTTTCCCCATTTAATTAAAGAAATGGGATGAAGGTTATCCTCCTGGAGCCTGGTGCTGAAGCAACCTTTGGGCTATTTGCCACCCAGGGTCCCTGAGGTTTGGACCTCTCCTCATTCAGTCTGCACTGGGTGCCTGAAGTACATGTGAAACGAGACTGTGGAGCTGGAAGGGGCAGCACAGACCACCCATGGGAGCCCACTCCCATTAAATCGAACCTCTTTAGATGGGTTTATGAAATCTAAACCCTCTCTCTGGACCCTGACTGGGCCATTCCTTGCACTGCCCACCCCTCCCCGCCATTCTTTCCAGCACTGTTGTACAGTAATCATGGTTTTTGCTTCCTTGAGTCTTTCAAATTCACCATAATAGGTTTCTTCACTTTCAGTTTCACTATCCGTCCCCATTTTCCACCCATGTTTCTTCTCCCTTCCTTTTCACTATGTGTACCCTGACTTCATATCCACATAGAAATACACACTTTTCTTTCTTTCTTTTTCTTTTTGAGATGGAGTCTCATTATGTTGCCCAGACTAAAGTTCAGTAGAGAGATTTCAGCTTGCTACAACCTCTGCCTCCTGGGTTCAAGCGAGTCTCCTGCCTCGGCCTCCTGAATAGCTGGAATCACAGGCATGTGCCATGACACCCAGCTACTTTCTGTATTTTTAGTAGAGATGGAGTTTTGTCATGTTGGCCAGGCTGGTCTCGAACTCCTGACCTTGACTGATCCGCCCACCTCAGCCTCCCAAAGTGCTGAGATTACAGGCTTGAGCCACCACCTGGACTTAGAAATGTACATTTTTCTAGGAATGGTCTTGTTGGTTTGTCCAACAGAAGATCCACTGATGGTCCCCGCTGAGTTGTGCAGTGGGCATTCCATCTGCGATGGCCAGATGAGGCCAGCTGAGATCAAGGCAGGTTGCTTCCACAACAGCGTGCCTGCCCAGGAGGCTCTGACACATTCCTCGGATCAGCCCCATTGAGTTTCTTAGCCTTGTGAAGGCATTTACACCTTCAAAGGGAGCAACCGCCATACTCCTTTGCCTTCTACCTGAAGAGCTGAAATGCAATGACAAAGCCTAAACATTGAGGGAATCCTTGTGCTGCTCGTATTGGATGGGAACTCGTGAAAACACAAGGGGATTGTTCTGGAGCACGTCCTTCTTCCTTGCTAGTCGCTCCTGGGCCTCGGTTTGAGCAGAACAATCATCACCCATGAAGGCTCAATGCCAAAGCCACTACCTATCTTTCTTCTGGTTGGCTGGTTTGACCCCAAAGGCACCCTGCTGAATTTATACATCCTTAGCCCCCACTTCATTCCCACCACGCCCTTAATTCCATACAAGAGTATTCCTAGCTGCCGGCTTCAAGAAAAAGAGACAGGTAGGGGGTGGGGTGGAGGTGAATATCCACACCCCTGCAGGTGGACTCAGCCCGTGTTCAGCATGGAGGGGCTCCGGAGAGCACTGGACGAAGCAGAAGGTTGGAAAGACCCTCAGGAAGGCAGAGCCCGCCTGAACCAATGCCTCACAGCATCCTGGATCAACAGAATGTCAGAGTGGCAAGGGAGCCTCAGAGCCCAGGGTCTAGTCCAGGAGTTGGGAAGCTGTGGCCCTAGTTCTGTAAAGAAAATGTGGGGGGGAAGAACGCATTGCCTTTTGTTGTCTAGTATCTATGGCTGCTATTGAGCTCTGAGGTCAGAGGGGAATAGCTGTGGCCGTGACTTTACGATCCATGACACCTAAAATACTTATTCTCTGGCTCTTTAGAGAAAACATTTACTAGCGTCTGCTCTAGTCCAGTGCCTTCATTTTGCCAAAGGGAAACTGAGGCTCAGAGGACAGGAATGATTTGCTCGAGACCCCACAGAGAGTTTATGGCAGAACCTTGGCCATTCAGAACTTGGGTCCCCAAGTAAGGAGACATGGAAATGTGTGCACGTGCCCAGAGAACAGACACTGCAGGTTACCTGCACTTGGGTGAGGCTCATTTCTAGGGATCCTGGTCACTGCGGCTGCTGCCCACACCACCCCTGGGGTGTGTCTGCCTAGATCAGAAGGCCTGTGTTCTGCCTGGGGCCATGCCGACAGTCATATCTCTGCTAACAGGAGACAGAGAACATGTAGACTCAGCTGAGGACTGGGTCTTGCACAGCACCAGCCACATACAGGGCACTTGGTAAATATTTGTAGACCTAACACATGACCAAAATATAAATGAAAGCCGGGAGCAGTGGCTCACGCCTGTAATTCCACCACTTTGGAAGGCCGAGGTGGGCGGATCACCTGCGGTCAGAGTTCAATACCAGCCTGTCAACATGACGAAACCCCATCTCTACTAAAAATACAAAAATTAGCTGGGCATGGTGCCGTGCACCTGTAATCCCAGCTACGTGGGAGGCTGAGGCAGGAGAATTGCTTGAGCCCAGGAGATGGAAGTTGCGGTGAGCTGAGATTGTGCCACTGCACTCCAGCCTGGGTGACTGAGTGAGATTCTGTCTAAATAAATAAATAAATATCACACCCAGAGATGGCTGGCAGCAAGGGACAGCAGAGGGGGGAGGGGTTGGAGCAACGTACTGCCAAACCATGTGAGGCAATTAGAAAAGGTAGCGTGGGTGCAAATGATCAGCTGAGGTACCACTGCCATACAGGGGGCATTTAAGAACAGAAGTTGGGGGTGGGGTGGTGAGGGGTCAGAAAGATCATGATGGCACGGGTTTTTTAAATTTCTCTAAATTTCTTCGGAAAAATAGGGCAACTAGGGTGACAACAAAATGAATCTGATCACATCATCAACAAATTCAGGTTAGCAGCAACTTGGGATCTGAGGGCATGGGGTCAGACCAGCACCACCAGCAGGACCTGCGGGACTCACTGAATCCACTTCTGTTCTTAAATGCCCCATTAGGCAGTGGTGCCTCGGCTCATTTGCACCCACGCTCATTTTGGGTTCTGTTTTTAATTGCCTCACATGGTTAGGCAGTACATTGCTCAGCTCCCTCCTACCTCGGCTGTGCGATTCGCTGCTGGGCAGAGGCAGCCTGGGGAAAAGAAAGAAGGGTTCTCATGTCACAAGAGCCTAAGAGTGCCAGACACAGAAATCTCCAAGAAGTGGCTGCCCCTCAAAAGATGAGGACTGCACTCTGCGTTGAATCTTCAGTAAGGGGACCAATGAAACAGAGAAGGCTCCACAGGTTCCAGTTTGTAGGCAAGAATGAAAAAGCCCATGGGAATCCACTTACGGTCTGCAGAGGTCGGTCAGGGCTGGCATGGGCTCTTGAGGAAGTCGGAAATGCCTCCCAAAACCTCCCTGGCAGAGGACAGGGACCCACTCGGAGAAAAAGCTGCTTTTGGTAGGATCCAAACTCAATGGGGTAAGAAAGTGGGGGTGAGAGGAGAAAGAAGGTTCAGAAACAGGTCAGCGTCCAGAGGTGGCAGCTCGTGGAGGTGCCATGACTGAACACTCCACGGTGTCAGGACTATGGAGACTGTGGAGGTGACCATGCAGAGAGACCAGTGTCACCTCCCGGTAGCCACCCATCTTCTCCCATTCCCTCCAGGAACTTGCTGTAAAGGCACAGCAAGGCCATCTATTTCAACAAGAGCAATGGAGCCTTATGAAGCCATATTGTAAGAAAAATACAAAAACAAGTAACTGAGTAACACACACGCAGGTAACAGCAACTACAAAAGCAGAACCACCAAGCAGATCAAGTGGATGATGATAATCTGATATTACAAATTAAGTGAAAAGAAACTAAGAAATTTTTAGAAACTGTGAAAGAGCAATAGAAATCAGAAAAGATAAGGGATAATTTGGTGAAACAACAGAATGTATACAGAACTAGTAGAATTTAAAGAACTAGGAAAAAGAAAAAAAATATTTTAGAAATAAAACCAGAAGAAACATAAGAACAAGCAGGCCAGATGTGGGAGCTCACACCTGAAATCCCAGCACTTTGGGAGGCTGAGGTAGGCAGATCACTTGAGGTCAGGAGTTTGAGACCAGCCTGGCCAACATGGTGAAACCCCGTATCTACTAAAAATACAAAAAATTAGCCAGGCATGGTGGTATGCACTTGTAAGCCCAGCTACTCGGGAGGCTGAGGTGGGAGAATAGTAGACTCTCTGTCTCTACCTGGGAGGCAGAGATTGCAGTGAGCCAAAATCATGCCACTTTACTCCAGCCTAGCCAACACAGCAAGACTCTGTCTCAAAAAAAAAAATTTCGTGGAAGGATTAGAAGAGCCAAGAATTTCACACCTAGCTAAGTTTCCTAAAAGTATTCTCTAAAAAGGTTACAACGAATTATGAACTTCAAAGAACACAGAGTATACAGTGTCCATGAACACTCTGAGAACTCTATCAGCAAATGAACTGTAGAAAACAAAATATCATAGGAGAAATTTTGGTATTGTGTTAAAAAATGAAGATAAATCCTTAACAGAGGGTCAATCCTGAGCAACTGAAGGTCTAACTAGGAGAAGAGAGAGGAAATGAGTTGGATGATTTTCTGTAAATGTTATTTTCAGCTCCAGATTTTAAGGAGATTCCTTATGATATTTTCTGCTCTCCACATCCAATTTGCAACATTTCACTATGCCTCTCGTTATTGCTAAACCCATACATCCTGTAGTACTCCAGCTGTTCACTCAAGATTGCCAGCAAGAAAATGGCTGTAAAACCCAAAACATAAGATTAAAATTAGGGCTCATTTTCTTAATTCTAGCCTAACAAAAATTCTCTACACCCTGCCCACTTCCCTTAAGAGCATTTGAACCACGTGATTCCTACGACAATTCATAGTGTAAGAAAAAATAATCTGCAAGCCAGTTAAGTTTATATTGTGCCCCAGTTCTTTGACGACCAGCTTACAAATACAAATTATATAGAAAACATATTTGGCCAGGTGCAGTGGGTCACACCTGTAATCCCAGCACTTTGGGAGGCCAAGGAGGGTGGATCACGAGGTCAGGAGTTCAAGACCAGCCTGGCCAAGATGGTGAAACCCTGTCTCTACTAAAAATATGAAAATTAGCCGGGTGTGGTGGTGGGCACCTGTAATCCCAGTTACTGGGGAGACTGAGGTAGAAAACTGCGTGAGTGGTGGTGGGCACCTGTAATCCCAGTTACTGGGGAGACTGAGGTAGAAAACTGCGTGAACCTGGGAGGCAGAGGTTGCAGTGAGCTGAGGCTGCACCACTGGGCTCCAGCCTAGGTGATAGAGCGAGCCTCCATCTCAAAAAAAACAAGCAAACACACACCATATTTATAAGTGTCATGTTTCCTTGGGAAAATAGTAAATTAAACATGAACTGTCTTTGCAGTGAGTTAAGACCCTCTCGTGTTTTTGCCGGAGACCAGAAAGTAAGATTCAGCATAAAACACAGCATCTCTAGTCCTGATGCTAATTGTAAAAACAACTAATACTAATAGAAAGAAAACGTTATTTTGTGCTAATATGGCATAAAAACCTAAACATATTTTTTAGTCATTAAAATCAGAATAGACTAATTCTACATGAAGTGTTTTGCTGAAAAATGTTTAAATGTTTATCTAGAAATAGAGCACAGGTACAAAAATGATATTCTTCAATACCTAGAGAACTAACGAGCACATTGTAAAATATCAATTAAAATTTACATCAGACCAATGAAAGAGCTTAAATGTGGAAAGTATCAGTTTTGTGTGGATTTAAAGAAAAAAGGGGGCATTGGAGGTGTGATGATGAGCAGCACCAGCCTGGCAGAGGAAGAGCCTTTGCAAGAGAGAAAGAGGAGAGGCCTCCCAAAAGTGGTGGGAAGATGTGCTTTCGGGATCCAGAGGAGATTGGAAGTGGCCCCTGTGAGGGACCGGCCAGAGAGCAGCTTCCCTAGACGGCAGGAGCCAGGGATGTCTTTTTTGTTCTAGACTCGTCCTTTTCAACTGTGATCTGGATGCAGCCACCCACATGGGCTGGCAGCACAGGGCCTAGAAAGCTTGGCCTACTCTGTACATGGGAACCCCACTTGACATACTTGGGGGGCATCAATCCTTTCTCCAAGGCCCAGACCTTTCCCCAGTGGGAGGAGGCCTGGAGGGTACACCGTGTAACAGGGTAACTGTCTTATGGCAGGTTTGCTGCTGGGAGAGTAGAGGTTTGGGGACACAGGCGGAGACAGGCTGGGGTGCCCAGCTCAGCCCCCTGATCACAGCATCAGCCTCCTGCATCCACTGCCCACAGCGGCTTCAAAGCCACAGTGGATGGCAGAGACCACCCCAGGTCTGGCTGTGCCACATGCCCACTCTGAGCCTCTGTTTTGATTTATGAAATGTCAGGGATGGGCCAGATCAGGGATCCCCAAAGCAAGCTGGTCACACAGCCCCCAGGACAGCTTTGTGAAAACATCCATTTCTAGGCCCACCCAGACCCACGGACTCTGTTTTTGTGGGGCGGGACCTGGGGTCAGGTATAGAGATTGTTTGGATAACGTAATATTTATTAACTTTAGAAAAGACAATGAGGAACAAAGAAGAAAATATTTTGAGTGTGGGCACCTGTATTTTTTTCACTGCGCCCAGGCTGGAGCACAGTGGAGTGATCTCAACTCACTGCAGCTTCCACCTCCAAGGTTCAAGTGATTCTCCTGCCTCAGCCTCTGGAGTAGCTGGGATTACAGGTGTGTGCCACCATGCCTGGCTCATTTTTTTGTATTTTTAGTAGAGACAGAGTTTTGGTATGTTGGCCAGGCTGGTCTTGAACTTCTGTCCTCAGGTGATCCACCCATCAAGGCCTTCCAAAATGCTGGGATTACAGGCATGAGCCACCACGCCTGACCAAGCACCTGTATTCTTAAAAAGCTCACTGGGGCCAGGCACAGTGACTCACGCCTATAATCTCAGCACTTTAGGAGGCTGAGGCAGACAGATTGATTGAGGTCAGGAGTTCGAGACCAGCCTGGCCAATATGGCAAAACCCCATCTCTACCAAAAAATACGAAAATTACCCAGGCGTGGTGGCACGTGCCTGTAATCCCAGCTACTCAGGAGGCTGAGGAAGGAGGATTGCTTGAACCCAGGAGGCGGAGGTTGCCATGAACTGAGATTGCACCACTGCACTACAGCCTGGGCAACAGGGTAAGATTCAGTCTGAAAAAAAGCTCCTTGTCCTTAGTAACCGTGCCAGTCCGCATGATCTTCTCCAACACCCTCATTCTCTTCCAAAGAAAAGGCGAAGAGGAACCGTTTACTCTATTCATGTCTATTTGCACAGAGCTGCTAACAGATGCAACATTCCAGGTGCCCCCAGCATCTCAGCCTTCCCCCTCCACACATCATGGTTGGTCCCTGGCCCATGGATCTTTCCAGCCTTATGTCCCACAGTCCAGCCAATGAGGTCACCTTGGCTGCCCATGACGTACTCTCCTGCCTTCCTGGGCCCTCCTCTGCTCCATCTCCCTGTCCTGAGATCTTCAGGACTCACTTCAAATGCTAATTCTACCCTGAAGCTTCCCCCGATGCCCTCCTCCACCCACTCATGACCTGCTTTGAAGCTACTCAGCACACTGCTGCTGTCTGTGGCTCACGGGTATCTCTGGTGCCTGGTAGATAGTAGTTGCTGAATACACACCTGTTGAATGAACAAATGAATGAATCTCTTAGAAAAGGCTAAGGAAGGCCAGGTTTTAAACCAGGAAAGCCAAGGACCCAGAGCCCAGGCTGACAGCCCTGAGAGGGCACGGGCCCCCTGGCACCTTACTTGTTATACAGCACAATGTCGGGCTTCCAGATCTTCTGGGCAGGAACACACATGAACTCTGCCCGCCCATAGTCCGAGGGGTTCCACTGCAGCTTGTAGTCATTCCAGATCTCAGGGAAGGAAGCAGGGAGGGAGGAGACAGTCACAGGATCAGTCGGGTTTTACTTCTCTTGGCACCACCCATCTTGGTGACTCCCCACCCCTGTTGCATGTGGCCAAGCTGCATCCATGCCATGATCACATAGTTCAACTTCTCCTGGGGGTGCAGCGGGGGAGAGACCACAGGGCTGGGCCTGTGGGCTGCCTCCTGGCCCAAGGGGAGCCGCTGTCCCCAGGACTGTAAGCAAGCCCAGCCCCTCATCAACCAGACAGGACCTACTGGAGCTTTCTCTGGCCACTTCTAGTGCCAGGAGGAGCCTCCTGGACTCCTTGCACGGGGTCCAGGTCCACATGCCTGCTGTTTACAGCCTCTAAATGGCTCTCCCAGGGGTGTTTTCCAACACGGAACTCTCTTTCACCCCAAGATTCAGCAAGGCTGGCTTCTGCAATGTTCTAGGGGAAGAAGCCATGATCCTCACAGGGCTTAGGAGGTGTCTGGGTGCAGAGGGTGGGGGTCTCAGTCCTCAGCACCAGAGGAGAAAGGGGTGAGGCTGAGGCCACAGAGGGAGCATGTGCATCAGGTACTGGGTGGCGCACTGTACCCATCTGACTTTCCAGCCTCCTGGGGATGAGGGCTGTGTGTGCTGAGTGCTCAGCTGGCCAGGCTTGCAGAAGGGTCACCAGCAAGCCAATGGGCCATTATGTCTCTTGGCAAGTCTGGACAGCCTCCCTGGGGAGGACACGTGGAAGGCAATTTCCTGGCCTCAATCTGAACAGGAAAATCTACTCCCACCCTACCAACAATAGCAGCGTCTGATTCTGACTTAAGAATGAGGTTTTGGGCCGGGCGCAGTGGTTCATGCCTGTAATCCCAGCATTTTGGGAGACTGAGGTGGGCTGATTGCTTGAGCTCAGGCGTTCTAGACCAGCCTGGGCAACATGGCGAAACTCTGTCTCTGTAAAAAATACAAAAATTAGTCAGGCGTGGTGGTGCACACTTGTGGTCCCAGCTACTTGGTAGGCTGAGGCAGGAGAATCGCTTGAACCCTGCTGGCGGAGGTTGCAGTGAGCCGAGATTGCGCCACTGCACTCCAGCCTGGGTGACAGAGCGAGATCCTGTCTGGAAAAAAAAAAAACAAAAAACAAAAAACTGAGTTTTTAGCAAGAAGGAGAGAAGGAGGTTGTCTCAAGCACCACCCCAGCGCTCAGGGGAGGGGCTTCAATCTCAGGTTCATTCAGTCCTGTTGTGTGAACATGGGGAATGTCTTTCTCCAGGCTGCAACCTGTCCATCTGGAACTTGAGGGGTTGGGCCCTACAGTCCTTCCAGGGGGACCGTAGGACAGTGCATGTGGCATCAAGCCTTAGAGGAGAGAGATTTGCCAGTCAGCGGACCCCAGTCTGGGTTCCACAGAAGTGAATGAAGCCTGGTCTTTGGGCCCTACTTGGTTCACCTACAGCAAATAAAGCAGTCACCACCAGGGGGCAGCAGTGCCCAGGGTCTGGTCACTTACTTGCTTGAGCCACAGGTTGGTCTCCATGATCTGGTTTACTTCATCCTAGAAAGAGGGATTAAAGTAGACAGGAGAATTACAAAAACAAGGCTCATTCTGGGAAAGGCTCCTCCAGAAGCCCCGGTCCCCATGGCCACGGCTCGCGGCTCCAGCACTCACCACCTTCACCAGCTGAGACATGGACACCTCGAAATGGATGATGACCGGGTCAGACACGTTGGCCACAGGCCGGATGATCTCACTGTCATCTTCAAACAGCCGCTCAAAGAGACGGTGCTCAGCCTCCGAGGCCCTGGCCACTGGAAGAAGCAGCCTCCTCAGTCCATGGGGGAATCATTACTTAACCTGCCCTACCCAGCCCACCAGCAACATTGCTTACTGACAGCATCCCCTCCACCTGTGGGGGGACTCTGTAGAACCCTAGACTTTCAGGCTAGTCTTATCCCGTGGGTTGCAGACTGGGAAACTGAGGCCCAAGAGTGGCAGGAGTCTACCAGGTCACACACATTCAGTGAGAAGCACAGTGGTTGCAAGCCTAGGCTCTGCAGCTGGACAGACCTGGTGAAAATCCTGACAAATCACTTGTGAGCTGTGTGAGCTTAGGCAAGTGGCTTAACCTCTCTGAACCTCAGTGTCTTTATCAGTCAAAATAAGGATTATAAACGTATCCACCTCAAACGGTGTTGAGAAGGATGTGCACAGCTTGGTGCTGTGGTAAGAGCTCAACAACTATTCGCGATCCTTTCCTGGGTTGTTACTGCAGGGCGGGCGTGTGGTGCAAATGCTGTCTGCCTAGGTACAGCCACTCCCTGCTTCCACGATGGAAAGATGGCCGACCCACCCCAGGGGCAAGGCCACCCACGGTCACCCAGGCCCAGGTCTCTGGGACAACGCGGCCCGGGTCTGGGCCTCTCTTGCATTCCATCCCATAGGGGTTTAGCCACCAGCCCTCTTAGAAACCAAGACACCAAGTGGCTCCTGTGATCTCGTGTGCTCCCCCAGCTCTTGCTGATGCTGTCTTCACATTCTCATCAACGACTTTGACTTCTCTGCAACCCTTGGGCACCCCTTTGTTTCTAAGCCACACCCCAGCACAGATGAGGCATACGCGGAGTCAGCTGTCTTTCAGTTCCCACGTACAGATCTGGGGGCAGCTTGAGGAGGCGGAAGGAGAACCCTCTGGGAAGTTGAATCCAACTTCCTCAGGTCTTGAAATGGGATTTTTGCCTGATCTCCCCCTCCTTTTCCCCAGAATGAAAGGAGGGTTCCAGGTAGGAGCTCAGTTGAGAACGTGTAGCGTTCTGAATAGTGGAGGCCTGGTCTTTGGGCCCTACTTGGTTCACCTACAGCAAATAAAGCAGTCACCACCAGGGGGCAGCAGTGCCCAGGGTCTGGTCACTTACTTGCTTGAGCCACAGGTTGGTCTCCATGATCTGGTTTACTTCATCCTAGAAAGAGGGATTAAAGTAGACAGGAGAATTACAAAAACAAGGCTCATTCTGGGAAAGGCTCCTCCAGAAGCCCCGGTCCCCATGGCCACGGCTCGCGGCTCCAGCACTCACCACCTTCACCAGCTGAGACATGGACACCTCGAAATGGATGATGACCTGGGCCGGCCCGCCCGCCAGGAACTCCCTGCGCCCTGCCTGGTCCCGGACCCTCGCTATCCACCAGCCCTCCCAGGCACTCAAGAGCCTCCCAGCGGCGGGCCAGGGCCGGCTTCCCCCATCAGGCTAGTCTGGAGAGCGGGAGAAAGACGGGAGGCACTGCCCCGGTGGAGGGTCCCACAGCGACGCAGCCTTGGGCACGGGGTGACGAGGACCGGAGGAGAGGCTGGCGTGCCGGCTGCAGCCCCAGTCCCGAGGCGACTCCCTTTTCCCCCAGGTGGCCTTGGCCAAGTCTTTAGTCTTCTCTGGCTCGTTTCCCCGTCTGTCCGTCAAATGAGGAGGTGGGCGGGATGCAGACGGTGGAGCGCGAGGCCAGTTCGGGAGTCAGTGCGCGGGGCAGGGCGACCGGCAGCGCGGGGACGCGAACCCCCAGTTCCTGCGCCCAAGACGAAAGACCCGGTCCCGAACTCCCCATCACCCCGCGCCTACCTGCGCCAGCCAAGTGACTCCCAGGTTTGCTGGTGGCTAGGGGTGGGGAGTAAGCCGAAAGGAAAAAAGCCACCCCACCCAAGTCGCTGCCGCGCGGGAGCGGGTCTGCACGGGTTCCGATTCCCCGGGACCGCGCCCGCCCTCTCCGCTCGCCGGCGCAGGGCTCTCACCTGCAGCGCCTGGAACCCCGCGCCCACTCCCGCGTCCCTCCGGAGCCCTGACGCCCGTGCGCGTACCTGGCAGCAGAGACAGCAGCGGCAGCCGCGGCGACGGCGCCCGGGGCGGCGAGAGCGGGCGGGAGCCCATGGCTGGTGGCCCGGCTGGCCGCGGACTCGGACGGTCGGAGCGGGCGCGGCGGGCGCAGAGAAGGCCTCTCCCCGTGCGGCTCCAGCGCAGACCCCGGACCCAGAGCCGTGCGAGCCGGGACGCGCGGGAATCCTCTCCGCTTCGCCGCCGCTGGGTTTCCGGCGCCCTCGGACCCGCGGGAGGACAGGAACCACCTGCAGCCAAGCAGCGCCGGGCGCGGGAGTGGGTGGGGTAGGGCTGGCTGGCGTGCGCGCCCTTGGGAAGGGACTCCCCACCGGAGTCTCCAGCGCCCGGTGGGCTCCCTCTGCGCGGGGCGGGGCGCGGCGCTCCGGACCGCGGCGCCCGACCAGATCCGAGCAGGTGCTATCACCACCGCCAGGAAAAAAGAGGGACCCAGCCTCTGTCCCTGGCTTTGGGGCGTGTGCAGCTGCCGCCGGGGTTTGGGACCACCGGGCCAGGCGCTGCAGGAGAGGCGCTAACACACCCTGGGAAGGAGGCCTCACGCATTTTCATGCTGTTAAGTAACTGTTAAATATTTTAGATATCGTACTGGTATTTTTTAAGTCCTTATAGTTTAGGGGCGGTAGAAGTCAGCTGAAACAATACTGGCCGTGAGTTACTAATTGTCGAGGCAGGATGATGGTATCTAGAGGTTCGGTATACCGTTCTCTTTCCTTTAGAATATGTTTGAATTGTTGCTTAATGAAAAATTAAAGAAAGATAAAGAAGACAGAATTTAAAATGAGGCTTCATTTGCCCTTTTTCTGAGACAAGGTCTCACCCTGTCGCCAGGGCTGCAGTGTGCTGGCTCCGTCTCGGCTCACTGTAGCCTCCACGTGCGGGCTCAAGTGAGCCTCCCACCCCAGCCTCTGAAGCAGCTGGGACCACAGGCAGGCGCCACCGCGACTAGTTAATTTTTAATTTTTGTGGAAAGGGGCGTCTCCCTATGTTGCCCAGACTGGTCTGGAACTCCTGGGCTCAGCAATTCTCCTGCCCTGGCCTCCCAAAGTGCCAGGATTACAGACGTGAGGCACTGTGTATGCCTCATTTGCTCTTCTGATGGAGCAATCTGAGAGGGCACTGGGGTTCCCACCCTGGTCCCCTGCAGAATCCCTCTGTCCCCTTCCCCAACACCATCTGCAACCCCAGGAATGTGCACTGATTGGCCAGGCAGGGGGCCCTGGAGCCTCCTGTCCTCACTGACCACCCACCAGGGATGGGGGGCACCTCGATGCTGGCTTCTTTGACATCCCTTTATCACAGGGGAAAGTTCCTTCGTAAGCTCTCCACCTGGCATTCAGCAAATGGTGAGTTGCCTTTATTGTTTCCAGAATGTGTGGCCTACCTGATTAAAACCAAACAAAAAGAGACAGTGTGTGGAATGGAAAATGTTTGTAAGAATTGGTACGCACTTCTCAGGCTCCCAATTAGAGCATTCTCATCTCCTGGCAAATGTCCCTCATTGGGACAATATTGTAAGTCATACATCCAGCAAAGGGCTTGTATCCAAAATGTATAAGGAACTCAAAACTCAACAGTAAGTGTAGATGCATATGAGGGATCTTGCTGGGGTGATGCAGATGTTCTAAAACTGAATTCTGGTGATAAACTTACAAAAACTCATTGAATTGTACACTTAAGATGGGTGGATTTTACGGCATGTAAATTATACCTCAATAAAGTTTTTTCTTGGCCGGGTGCAGTGGCTCATTTCTGTAATCCCAGCACTTTGGGAGGCTGAGATGGGCAGATCACAAGGTCAGGAGTTCGAGACCAGCATGGCCAACATGATGAAACCCTAAGTCTCTACTTAAAATACAAAAATCAGCCAGGCATGGTGGCAGGCACCTGTAGTACCAGCTACTCAGGAGGCTGAGGCAGGAGAATTGCTTGAACCCAGGAGGCAGAGGTTGCAGTGAGCCAAGATCATGCCACTGCACTGTAGCCTGGGTGACAGAGCAAGACTCTGTCTAAAAAAAAAAAAGTTGTTTTGTAGAAAAAATCTCAATGTTAAGGAAACGAATAATTTTTTTTTTTTAATGAGCAAAAGAGTTAAACAGATTTTTCACCAAAGAGGTTTACAGAAGACAAAAGAAGCACATGAAAGATGTTCAAATCACTAGCAACTATGGACATGTGAATTAAAATCAGGGTGGAATCCAGCTGCTGAACAACTTTGGTGGGATTGCAAAATGATACAGCCACTCCAGAAAACAGTTTCTCCTCCCTCCCTCCCTTCACCCTTCCCTCCCTCCCTCCTTCCTTCTCTCCCTCCCTTCCTGCCTTCCTTCTTTTGCTGTGTCACCCGGGGCTGGAGTGCAGTGGTGCAATCTCAGCTTACTGCAACCTCTCCCTCCCGGGCTCAAGTGATTCTTCTGTTTCAACCTCCTGAGTAGCTGGGAATACAGGCACACATCACCATGCCTGGCTAATTTTTGTATTTTTAGTAGAGACAGCGTTTCACCATGTTGGCCAGGCTGGTCTTGAACTCCTGTCCTCAGATGATCCACCCACCTTGGCCTCCTAAAGTGCTGGGATTACAGGTGTGAGCCACCGCACCTGGCCTCAACAGTTTCATGTAAAGTTAAACATAGACTTACTATATAACCTAGCAATCACCCTCCTGAGTGTTTAAATAAATGAAAACTTTTATTCATACACAATCCTATATGTGAATTTTTATATCAGCTCTATTCGTAACTGCCAAAAACTGGAAACAGCCTAAATGTGTGTCAACATCATCCAACTGAATACTCCTCAGCAATGCAAAAAAACAACTCGATTGAATCTCGAAGGCACTACGCTGAATGAAAGAAGCCGGTCTCCAAGGTCACTACAGTGTGATTCCATTTACATGGCATTCTTGAAAGGACCCAACTGTAGTGACAGAGAAAAGATGTGTGGTTGCCAGGGGCTAGGCGTGGAGGGAGTCAGGATTCTAACAGAATAGCAGGAGGGAGTTGTTTTGGGTGGCTGATCTTTCCCGTGTCCTGATTGTGATGGTGGTTTTTCCAATCTATATACGTGTTAAAATTCCTTAACTATATATTTACAAGTCAATTTTATTATATAATAATTTTAAAAACAGAATTTTTTAGAATGTCCTCCCCCCTTCTGCAAATATTCTGAGTGCCTGCTATGTGCCAGGCACTGTGCAAAAGGTAGTATATGCGAGGAGTGAATCAGAGCATCTGCGTGGGAGAGCGGCCTGAACCCAGCCATGATAGAGGACTGGAAAGTGACCAGCGCTGCAGCGGCATGGAGGAGCCGGCCATGCCTTTTAGATGGAGGAACTAGGGACCGCTGCTCAGAGGACGGGCGTCTGAGCTTGAGGGAGGAGTAGGAGCCATTCATTCATTCAACAAGCATTTATTGAGCACCTACTGTGTGCCAAGCTCTGTCCTAGGCCTTAGGGATACCACCATGAATGTGAAGGAGCAGGTCCCTGTTCTCATGGAGCTCACACTCTAGTGGGTGAGT